TAAACCCCTTAGATATTTACTTTTTACTTTTCATTATGCAAGAACAGATGATAGAAATATAATTTAGTTCAATTATTCCCTACAAGAAGCCAACAAAAGAAGGCAGAGAGGGGACTGCTGTCGACTGTCCTTATCGAAACGATTAGCATTAACTTCACTAATCTGCAAAAAGGATCTAAGTTTTATCGTGACTTAACATAACAGGATTATTACGTTGACATTTGGTTTTACGATAGGTTTAAAACGGGGTTCTATTAACGTCTCGGCAATTCACATCTTTGCAAAGGACAGAAGAAAATTTTTTATAATAACGTTAAGTAAAATTTAAGTTTTTCACGGCGGCGACTCTGAAGATGGCCCACTTCTGGGTTGTACCGCCGTGTAGTCTGGTAGAAGTTTACCGACATTTCAGGGGGGTCCTTGCTGCTGCCGAGATCAAACAGTAAGTAACTTTAAAACGTCGTTAAACATCTACCAGTTTACGCTGATCAATAACCAATGAAACAGCCATAAACGTACTTATTATTTTCCATGTAAGGAACAATATATATTAAATTAATTCTAGTCTTTTGTATTTCGTGAGATACTTTGCAGTTTCCCTCTAGAAGAGAGCCGGAATAGAACGGTAAAATAGGCCACGGTCGCTTTCCCTGTATTCCTTATAATTTATTTTCTGTTAATCTATTTTTTTTTATCTGATGCTGTATCGACATGATTTCAACCATTGTCAGGATCGTTAAATGAATTGAAAAGTCGCCAATGACGTGTGTCTAACCACAGAGAACGCGTTCGTAAAAGGCGTGGTACAAATTGGAAAACCATTTTCCACTCTTGTTATATAACAAAGAACTTAGACTAAACTAATATTCTACACAGACTTTTTTTTTTAATATCGCCGAGTCATCTTTCCTTATGGACTAGAAAATTAATTTAATGACTGGCCGATATAAGGAAAGTAATACGTACGCAGTTAAACGAGATTACTTTCGAAGACCGTTTAAGAAAATTACTTTTAGCCATGCGACATCTCAACATGTGGTGTATAAGAAAGTGGAATTAGGCAAATTATAAAGGACAGGGAATGTATCAATGATGATACGTCTGAAAGAAAATTGAGTTTGAGGGAAGTGGTTACAACTGTGCCCGTAAAAGAGTTGGCAGCGTTGCTAGCAGCTACCGACGAAGAATTTGCTACAACGGAACGGTCATCAAGAGAATATGCATGAGTTATTTGCAGAGAGTTCAAAACGAAAGCCCGATGAGGACTGTCCGTCCGAATGTTTCAGCTCTGATATAATTGGACGGATTTTTATTCGGCGGTGCCCGAATTTATAACTTGTGTTGGGCAAGGCCGTGGTCTAGGCAACACGGAGTTTTCCTCCGTGGCATCCCAACAATTACTCCATTCACACACAGAAGAAGGCAATGGCAAATCACTTCTGGATCATCTGCCAAGAACGTATATGAACAGGTCCCAGTCCGAGAAAAGGATGGAAGGATCCTGTTCATATGGACCTGTCGTCAGACAGAACACTAAATAAATAAAATAAAAAAGGTACACTCTATTGACAAAATATTACATTCTTTCATCTATATTGTGATAAGAAAACAGTCAAGATAAATTTGTGCTGCTCTAAAATTACACTAAATTAGATGTCGCTTTTGTAAGTACTCTTATTCTTATTCTTTCGAAAATATTACGTGGTTCCCATTTTTTCGAACCTGGAATTAGAAAAAAACAAAACAATGTCCAGCAATTTAGGGACGACGACATAAAACGATCTGGGAGTGCTGTCACACAACAGCATTTTGTATAATTACTTTCTCATCATCCCTCGAGGGCCTTTCTACAATCACACGTAACATTTTTTACTGCGTCGTTCCTCCTCTCCTTCGACAGCAGCTCCGTGAACAGTTTACAGCATTTAGAAGTCGAATGACAAAGTGAAATTATTTTTCATCTACGCTTACATTTATTGTGTCATACAAAAACAAATTTAAGTACGTTTTTTTTTTGTAATAATGAAGGTTAGAAATGACCAATTATTTACGTCGAAATGAGGGGGCATAACGACTGCCCTGCCCTCTGGCAGTGAGAGCCTGAAAGCCGATTACAGCCACGACATCTTATTGTTAGAAATTGTAACAGAGGGAAATGAAACAATGAACTGTCCATTAAAGTAAAGTTCTGCCTCTAGCTAGTATTTATTGACAGTTAAAAGACATAATGGTAAACAATAAGTCCGATTTATGGTGCTTATAATAATGGTTATATTACTTTTAGCCTGGAATATTAAGAAAACCACAGGTGTCTTTAAAATATAGTAGTTGACTTGTACGTAACCAAATTGTCAAGCAATTACAGAGATTCAATGGTATCATAAATCCTGTCCTTTGTTATTGCACTGTTTAGTTAGCAGAGAATGAAAAGGATTACTGTAGATATAACTACTTATTTAAATTGATAAATTACTCTACTCGCATTGTTCATCATAGTACGTTTGTCACCTGGCATGCAATTTTTTATTTCTACATTATGTTGAATAGCCTAGGAAGAAATCTTACCAAATAATGGTCACCATTCTCAACGTTTCCAGTTTTTTTATATTAACAACACATCAAATAGTTCCGAGATTCCAACCCAAGGCCTCTGTCTGTAACGTGGATTATGGAACCAATTGACTGAAGACATTGGTAATTAAATTAAAAAAAGTAACCGAAGACATTGGTAATTAAATTAAAAAAAATTAATATATTTATCAGGGAGAATATTGGAGTCTCAAGGAAGATAGTGGAACTGGCATGAGGAGGTTAGTAATATTTAAACAAATTTTTGCTGACCTGGTAATATATCACGCTTGAAAAATAACAAATGCGTTCAAAAGTTTTGTCAGATAATCTGACAGACAGTGACTACTTGCTGTATTTAAACTTAGGTGTGAGTATAATTCAATTAAATTAAATTACTTAAGAAATATATTCATTTATTATAAGCATTAATCAATATATTCCGTATGCAGACAGTCTATCAGGTTAAGGGTAGATTCCGGTTGAGTGGTTTTGCGTAGGGTTTCACGCTAATGATTTTTTCGGATTTTATAAAAGATGGAAACATCTTGGCCACTTGAGTGACTATCAGCTTCTCAAGTAAAACTCTTCCCGTGCAGTTAAAACTACTCTGTTCACAGAGCGTATCTACAGAAAAAATATTTTGTTACATAGAGACTAAGCCCTCAAATATCACAAAACAGATAAGCGTGGAAACGAGAAGGAATATTTAAAAGAATTATATGCCCATTCCTAGAATACTTTCTAATCCATAAATTGCAGACAGAAATATTACAAATTCAAATCTGCATTCAAATCTCACAATCCTACTAGACGCCACAGAGTACAGATACATAATAACCGAAATATTGTTTTGTGTTTTTCTTAAATATTCAGGACATCGAAAAATATTAGGTTATAAACCATAAAAAATATTTGTAATTTATGACGTGTACAAAGTAGCTTCATATTAGAAAACTTTCATATATTGAATCCATTGTTGCCAAAAATCAAATTCGGAGTTTTTGCTATTCAAATTTTTCGTAAAACTTTCTTCTAAAGGCGTTAAGTCTACTCGAATATAGTTTGTGTGGGAACAGATATTTTATTCAACTTTCTTAAGGTTATCCAATCGCTTTAACTCTAACCAAATTTCTTCCAAAATTTTCCTTGTTAATTTATCTATAAATAATCTTTTGCTTTAATCATCAAGTTCGCATTCAAGAGAATTTTTTCAATACATTATTTTAATAGAAATAAAATTATTAAATAATATCTAAATCAGAACAGAATAACATAATAAAAGCCGAATGGTATTCGCTTCAGACGTTCCGAACATTCTATAGATGAAATTCAGTTTGTAAGATTTGAGGTTTTTACAGCGGTGAGTATGAAGATTTCTGTCTTCTGGGTTCTGTGTAGTCTGGTAGATGTTTACCAACGTTTCAGAGGTCATACTGCCCCCGTCATCAGGGCGATGACTCAAGCAGCAATGACCTCTGAAACGTCGGTAAACTTCTACCAGACTACACGGCGCTACGTCGGGAAAGACAGTCATCTTCAAATTAATAGATGACAACTGTACATATAATCGTGTGTAAGATTATATTTATTGTGTCTAGCTAGTAACAAATTAGACAAGAACTACTTAAACCTCATTTAATTACAACACTGTGTTCATTAGAACTAGCAGGAAACAATTCTTACAGTTTCGAACAAAAGAATTACCATCACCATTTAAATTTCCCACAACCGTACAGAACAACATACAAGACATGGAATTGTAAGTTGACTTACTTTTTAGTAAGTCATTTCTACTTAAGAACCTCGAAGCTACTTAAATTCTCTAAGTCCTTAGTGCTCTATGCCTGATTAAGTCAGTATACGAAATTGTAGGTGGGCTGTCTCCTTTGGCACATTATTTCAAACGAAATATCGCATCACAACTTAATTTATAAACATTCATAACCTGACATTAAAAAAGTATTTGTGTAATGATTTCCTTGTGGAATTTTGTTTAAGCATAAGACCATTTAAATAAATTCGTTCCTTAAATTTATTGTTAGTTTTAAGTATTTTTGAAATGATCTCATTAGTTATCGAGTAATCAAAACTGAATTATAATTAATTTGTATTAATGAATTTGCAAAACATGTCATATATTTATTCTTAAACTTCGAAATAGTTTTGTATTTTGAACATACAAAATTAGACTAAATTCAAGAAAATTCAGATAGAAATTTGACTGAAATTTACTAATCTTGGACCGTGAGTGCATTAAGTAGGCTGTAAATTTTTCATTCTAAATGTCTGAATTTTGTATTAAAAGTAATTAAAGTTTGGTAAGTCCATTTTATATAAGTACATAGGCTGTGTATAAAATATTAACGATGGTATTTTATATTATATGTACTTAACGTCTGTAGCAAATGACAAAGGAATGCGAAAATCCGTAAAGAGATATGCGAATTTATTTATTATGGTAATTTTAAAATTTGTACAACTTCTATAGGACTATATTAACTCACCTAACCATTCGAAATAAAATGCTGATTCTAAAATCTGCTGGCACAGTTACAAGAATTCATCATACGTTTAACTATTAACTTATCTGTAATTGGATAAAATTAGCGCTATAATGCAAGTATTGTAAAAGTCTTAAAATGTTAAGTGCTGTGTAAAATACTTACGTTTAACTAACAAATCCCCCGAAATATATTAAATTGACTAGAATATTACACTGTATTTCAGTGTTTGTAAAGTGTTTCTGAATTCAGTTAAGACCAACGAAGGTTTAATAACTCAATTTTAATTCCAGGACTCCGCATTGAATCCTTAAAACTGACATTAATATTTTAGTTTAAACATTTCGGTTGCAAATAACTTTCACTGCCTTTTGATTTCGAAAACGTTTCTCCACATGCTCACATACTTAAAATGGAAATTAAAAGTTCTCTCTATATGCCTAAGTATATATTCGTGATCGACATATTAAACTTCCCTTCTCTTTGACAAAATCTTTCTATGGACGCCACTTTCGTTGCAAAATTTAAATGTTAACTTTCAAAGTAATATAGAAACCCAAACTGTAAATAGTATTTTTTCGTGTCCGGTTCCACCTGACGAGTCTGCTATGGGACTGCGTCAATCTTCTGCCATAAAATGTTAAATTGTATAGCAAATACATTAAGTGATATAAAATATTTTATATAGGTTAGTGTTAATTAATAAGTTAGTAATAAGTTATTATTGGGAATAAACATTCCTCTGCAATATATTCATGAATAAACAGACTGAAATCTTAGTATTAAACTTCGACTTGATTTCGACCCTCATCGATTTCTTTGGTACTGCCGAAACGTCCAGGCGACCTTCGTACAACTTGCTCCACGTCAAAGTCGTCTCTCAGAGGAAAGGTTTCGCTGTTCTTTCGCCAGAGGTCAGGCTTCCACAGTTCAGGTGCTTCTTCCATTGTTTTTTCGACAGAAGTCCATGACAAGGGCTTGCCTGTAAGAAATGCATTCGTCTAACTAAGGAGAGTACTTAAATATGGATTAATTGATTGAACAACTAATGCCTATTTTTTTTAATATTATCATGTTATGACCAGTAAAAGTGCGACTTTTAAGGTTTGTTCACATTTATCATGAGACTTGGGTTTACTGTTACCGGTATGTACAGATAGCTACTCTATCAACACTGAAGATAACAGCTCGAGAAACCGTCCACATTTACGAAATCACACGAGCAGGACACATCTTATGATGAACCCGAGGCCTGAAGCATCTAAAAGCATAGATTGGAGGTTCTTAAGGCAGTTAATATGTAAATAGTTTTATTCTGGTTTGTTTATCTCTGTGATTTTTTTACGTTAGATTACCATCGTTCCACACTGATGATGGAGATGATATGCTCCGCCCGAAACGTCGGTAACCCGATAAAATAACTCGGAGATCATAACCTAGAAGACCATAATCCGCTTCAGTTGTTTTAGAGGGTAAAACAGCAAATCCCTAAAGACATATACGTTTTAATGCGTTCTAATTACTTCAGGTATAATAAAGTAGACGTTTAATCCAATTATCTGTGTTCTGACTAAGCTATCTGATTTCTAAATAACGAGAGGAGTTATGAACCAGTAATTGTCTGTTCAAAACAGTTTAGATAAGAACCAGTAATTGTCTGTTCAAAACAGTAATCTTCAGTTTCAAGACTGAACATTCGGAAAATAAGCATTGCTTTTATGTGTATTAGGATTACGCGAATATTTATAGAGCGAAATCGAAGTATGTGTGTGTACTGGGTTTCTATTTAAGTTGGGTCGATGTGCCAATTAAATTGTGTTGATGGCAGAGTTTGGACTGTTACCTTCCTCATGTAGGTAGTAGTTGGACCGCCTCGACGGACCTGGAATTGTGTCGGCGGTTCTGAACCAAGGCCACATGGCCGATTCGCGTCCCGGAGTCTGAAAAAAAAACACCGGAATATTTGCTAGGATTCCAATGTCTTTAAAAACTTTGAAAGGGTGTGGATGAGTGGGTAGGTACCACGTAGTTTACACAAGGGTACAGGCGCTAATTCTTGAAAATGCAAGATATTTTCGGTTCCGTAAAAGGCGGGAAAATGTTTGATCAACCGAGCGATTGTCATATTCTCAATAATTATACAAGCAAATGTAACAAATACGTAAAGATTTACCGATAACAAATTATTTTATATATAATTTAATATAGTACATACCAACATTTTTTTAAAATAGGTTTATAACGGATTGTAATAACGTTCTATTATCGTAAACTTCATATTTTAGCAACAACTGATTTATGTTAATACGTTATATAATTCGGCATTGCATTTAATTATTTATTTTTAAACGTTCTTAATTTTATAACAGATTTTATAAATTATTTTAAATTTTCGTCTAAATCAGATACAGAAGGTAACTCTTTATTTTGTATTCATGGGTTTCGTATTATGTATTAGTAAATACTGATTACGGAATGAATTTTTAAATTTTATTCAGACAAGCATCGTCTTCAAATGGTTAACACCTAAATCCACGTCCATGTTACATGCGTGAACTTCACATGAAATCAGTAATCTTAAGAGCGAGTGTCATGCATTTTGTCACACCACAGGGTGAATGCAATTCCAAAGATGCGTTGTTACAAGGATTATTACCGACCTGCACAGATCCCTCGCTTTTTATATATATAAATACGTGTCCGTGAGCTCAGTGCCATCACTTACACACCATAATTCGTGTCACTTACAAGAGGAGACATTTCACGACGTCGTCCAATCCTAGGAATTTCCTTCGACGCCTTCAGGAAGTCGTATTCGCTGCGTCGACCTATTCGAGGCACGCTTTTGGACGATTTCAGAAAGAAGTTGGTTCCTGTTTCGTCCGCCGAGATGATACTAGGGCATGCTGTTAGGACTACAAGTATGGCTGCTACCATTATCAAAGGCAAACCTGGAAATATAAGCACAGGTGAACGAAAGATACAATCCAGAAAATATATTTATCTTCCAAACCTAACAAACCTTCAGAATTTCACAAAAATATAAAAAAAAATTAGAGAAGAACCGACCTACATTATCAGATTAAAATTATATTAAAACAGCAAACTCACTTCAAAAACTAGAGTTTTTGAGAAACTAACAGTCTCTCAGTTTGTCAAGAAATTCCCAAACTTAGTGTAATTCAGAAGCCTGTGATAGGTCCCTGTTCTGTGCCAGTCCACACTTCGTATTTTTTCCAGATCGATTTTAATATTATCCTCCCATCTGAATATAGGTCTCCAAAGTGGTCTCTATTTTTCAGGTTTTCCGACTAAAACTTTATATGAGTTTCTCATCTGTGACCTGCTTTGCTGTATTTCCCAACATTCTTCTTGATTTGATTACTCTAAGATTATTCAGGGTTGTCAAACTAGGAAACGAGTTCTTCATTTGTTCAATTCGATTTCGATACAGAATCGCTTGAAGTTGTACGGCGTTCTTTGGCTGCGAAGAATTATTCTTGCTAGCATTTTAAGATACGTCGGTGTATTACTGAAGAACGGATGAATTAATTTACTTTATTCAATTTAAAGCAAACATTCGGAACATTAGTACAAAAATTCCCGGTGTGGTGGTCACCGCTTATATTTTATATTCATTTTATCCCGCCTATGAAATAGAAGGATAGTGGCTTAAAACAAAAACAGCAGATACAGCGTCATTAAAAATGCGAAACAAATAATTCTAGTGTTAAAATTTGTGAACATTTCTGTACTTACCAAACGAGAAGCAGTTTGTCGCTATCAGATTCCAATTCTGTTTTGCTGATTTCTTCATTGTGGTTCGATAAATGTCCTTTGTTAATTTGAGTGTTCTGTTCTGTTATGTGCAATGAACCTCCAGGCACGCTACAAAACATAAGACAATGAAATATCAACAGCCAATTCCAGTTTCCACAGCGAGATTCTAAATAAATCAAATTTCGTTTCGCCAAGCCAATTCTATATTGACCATAAAATTTTCTGATGTAATCTTGATAATATCGTAACATTCACTTCGGCACATTTTAACCCGAACTATGTACTTCATATTCAATTAGAATATAAATTACATTTCTATTGTAATTATGCACCAATTTTGTACAAATAACCATTTTACTTGTAATCCTACAATTACTAAAAATACGCAGACCAACAGAAGACTTCTGGATTCATGCATAGAAAAGTTTGTATTGTTCTTTATTGCTTTAAAATCAAATGTTTTTAAGACAGTAATGTATTCGTGTCTCTTACAGTGTTTATATATTTGATATATATCCGTCATTCTAGGCAATTTGCATACACAATAGACGGAATCCTTTTAACGCACACCCGGAATCGAACTCACAGACAAAAATATTATATCACAAAATGACCCCTTTCCTCCATAATAGTTATGACCACAGAAACCTTTTAAAATCACAGAATATTTATATCACCCAAGAAGTTCATATCCGCAATTGTAAAAGAAAGCAGGGACAGGTTTTAAGAAGAAAGTGTATAGAGAGAAAGGACCACAGAACAGAAAAGTCTGAACAGTCAACGAAATGTTCAACAAATTCCTTGCTTTTATGGAATCAGATGTTCACCCCTTTATAACAAAATCATGACATCTGACTGATAGAGGTCACTTCACATTCACACAACATGTTTACGTGCCTAAGATACAATTTAATATTATCCTCGTTTCTACAGATAGGTATTCAAAGCAGTCTCGTATCATGAAGTTTTGTAATGAAAATTTCGTACGCATTTCTTGTTTTCCCACGCTTATTCCTGTAATTTAAATATTTATTTATTTAAATACGTTGACGTCGTTAGATGAAGAAGGTTATTTTCCTACTTATGTATTTATTTAGGTTACAAATGAGTTTGTCTTTCTGAAATCCTTTTATTCTCCTGAGTGCTTAGTTCTCAAATACCTTCTCTCTCTTTTTCCCCTGAAAGTATGAGACTAAATTTGACAACAAAATATCGACAAAATTTTAGGTTATCTTACGACTGACCTGTTTTTATCTTAGTAGTTTAGATACGAGATTAATATGAAGCACAGAGAACAATATTTCTACATCCACTGTTTTTAGAAAACTCGAAATTAATTTTCTTGTGAATCCACGGTTCGCGCACCCTTGTCAAGCCTTCGCTCCGCACAGCTGCCCCGACTGAAGTTCGACGTCAGATGTTTCTACCGATTTGTCTCAGTTTCTGTTTGTGTTGACCGATGATGGTAACACCTCTTAATATACACTCAGACGCCCCTGTGTCGTTCGTCCTTTCTCTCGAGAAAATAACAATAACATAAAACCGTGGGATGCGTGTTAGGGTCAGACCATTGACACAGTCTCGCGAGAAATGATATTCCCTCTCCAGAGGTAAAATATCCCATGGACAGAAGAGTCTATTCCTCGCGATTTTAGATTTCACGTCGCTCGGGCACAGATCAAAAGTTCCTTCCGTAATTGTTTCGTATTGTGTTCATATTATGATGACGAGATGATTCTATATGCAAGAAATCGTGCCACTTCTCTTAATTTTTACTAATTTCGTGTCAAGGATTAGACCGGAAGGCCATTACGAAGTTAATTTCCGTAATGATTTCATCAATTTCTTGGTTGATCTTATTACGTCTTCCTATTTTATTATACAACTTTTCGTTCACATCCGTAAACGTTCGTGCACACACTAGTAATTTTCTTTGATATAATTACAGTTATTTTTCTAACTAACCTACCAACCAAACAAACGAACAAATAACTAGTCATCTAACCGTATGGAATAGAGCTTTTTGAAACGCTGATAGTAGTTAAGTTGGTTAAAAAAATTTCTTGGACTTGCAACTGATTCTGATGTTGAAGATGGCTGTCTTCTGGTTTGTTGAAGTCTGGTAGAAGTTTACCGACGTTCCAGAGGTCTTTGCTGCCAGACTTCAATAACCCAGAAGACATCCACCTTCGGATTCAAATCCTTTTGATTCTGATGTTGTTTATACTATTACATAAACTCACGCCCTATTTTTCAAAAAACAAACATTCTATTATTATTAACAGATTTAGTTCTCCGTGTCGGTAACTGATATCGCCGTATTGCCGATATGAGCTGATTCTTGCCCAGGGTGTACCGATCGAAGACCACTCAAAGCTAAGAGGCAGAACGTGACCCTCTGGGCCCACGCGCCACTAGCCTGGTTCAGAACTCACCCAACTGCGTTTCATTCTACTCCAAAAAGGGGGGGAAAACAACAGTCTCTCTCTTTGCACGGTAACTGCGTATCTACTACGGGATTTGACACTCTCCATATCAGTCTATGTTTGTATTAAATAACCAGCTACACAGTGAAGCTTATAGTGGCTCAGACGAAAAAAAATTTCCTCCCCTTGTATGGATCCCACAACCCACCAACATTAAGTATCCTGAGACAGCTTAATCCAATTATAGTTTCAATAAAGATTAATTTTTATATTATTTTCATACTTACACCTAGTTTTCATAAGTCTAAAATAAAGACTTGTAACCTTCCAATTACAAAATTTCGTGTCTTTTTTTTAAAATTTATTGTAGCTGTATAGTGAAATATTCGTCTAAAAATGAAGCAACACGCTATTTTTCTACATTGACAAATTTCTGCCCCGCTCCAAGATAGATAATCACCCCTTATCGGCTGTCCAATACAGCTTAATCAACATAAGCCCAATAGCAGCTACCTTTCCTTGTCTGGAAGCTCCCTCCTATGTTCTTGAGTAATGACTTAACGTAGCTTATCGATTAACCCTCTAATGCTTAATGGTAACTGTATAGCTCGTCTGATGTACAGACTTCTGAAACTCTTGCCGAACTCACCTCAGTTGACTGCAGTCTCTGGCTGGCACCCTATCTGATGACACCACCGGGTGACCTGCCCCTTTATATGCCAACAATATCAGCTGTGACTGTTGTCATGGTGATTTGTATCTCTGCAGACAGATTTACCACAGGGAGCTCAGTCATGGATGCGGGCTGTCAAATCTGTAGCAGTGTAAATAAATAAGCCCGCAGACTCAATATTCGTCTCATGCCTCTTATTTGGTTATTTCAGTTTAGAGAATACTGAACACATTGGTTTGAAACTGGATATTAGGAAATTTAGTGTGGGAGGGAGTCTACACCAAAAGTTGTCAGGCGAATTGGTGCTGTAGTGAATAAGAATGGGATGTTAAAACGTCATAAAACTTAACTATCGATACAAATACCATCGATGTAAATTACAAAATACAGAATAAACGAGATATTATAAATTATTTGCTTTGGTATTTCCTTAAGGTAAACTGAAGATTAGATAGATATGCGGGCATCGATTGTCAATTTTTGTTTACAAGATGATCAGGTTGTTATGTATCCGCATTGAAGCCATATATGAGGGTGCAATGTGACGACGTTATCATACCTTGGAATGAGAAAACACAAAAACATTGTATGTATGTCTAGCGGTTAGAACGCTGACCTTGTAATACTGGGGTTCGATTCCCGGTGGTGCCCGAATTTATAACTTGTGTTGGGCAAGGCCGTGGTCTAGGCAACACGGAGTTTTCCTCCGTGGCATCCCAACAATTACTCCATTCACACACAGAAGAAGGCAATGGCAAACCACTTCTGGATCATCTGCCAAGAACGTATATGAACAGGTCCCAGTCCGAGAAAAGGATGGAAGGATCCTGTTCATATGGACCTGTCGTCAGACAGAACACTAAAAATAAATAATAATAATAATTCCACAAATTATATGTTTATCTGTTATTGTTTTCCATTTCTTTCATTTTTACATACCCCGGCTGTATACGTTTCAGTAATCGAAAAGGCTGTATCTCCATGACAATTTATTTTGTTGATTTATCGAAGGTGTTTATTGATAATTCAAGTTTTATAATGTTTTAACATCTCATTCGCTGTTTGTTTACCCATATTTGTAAATATTGATTTATTTTACAGAGGCAAAAACAGTGTAATTATAGTTTAAAATCTGTCGTTTAATTTTTATTTAACATGCAACTGATGATGGTGAAATGCCTAAGCGTACAGTGCAGATTTATTGTCACACGTGATGTAAAAATTAAGAGAATAATGTTGTCATAAGTTTTAAAACATCTGTTTTGTCGAACGAAGAAAATTAGTAAATATTCTAAATAGTTAATTACCTAGACGATAAATATGTGAATATAAGGGTTAGTGATAGCAAATGGAGTGTCATTTTATGACTAATTTCTATCCTTATGCACGTTTTAGGACACAACATTAAGCAGTGTGTGGCATTAGAACACATTTGATTTTTTTTTTTTTAGTCCAAAGAGTTCAGTCTTTTATGACTATTAACCATTCAAGGCTTCTATACGGCTATATTCAGCCGGGATTCAGAAGGAGAGGTTTTAGTGAGTGCCGTGATACGTGTTTTATCACCTGCTAGTGTCAATGATCGCATGACGACCACAAGAAATCGTGATAGTTCAGTGAAAGAAGGCCACAAGTGTCTCACCCCACGAAGTATACCAATTCCGCATGAAGAAATGTGCTTTACGTAACTTTTGCGCGCATGACAAGTGGAGCCAGACGTGTTTTAACGTAATGACACAGATATCAAGGAAGAGCTGTAGGTAACAGCTGACAGTATCACGATATGCAGATGCAATGAGTAAGATGTTTCCATGGTACATAAGTTTTACGAATGCAGTTCAACATTATTAGTAGATAAAGATAATTAATGTCATTATGTACTAGAATTAACTTCACATTTTCGAAAGTATTTCTCTAAAATTCACTTTGGCCTCGTAATAAAAGTCCTCTATCATATTCTGCAATTTAAATTTTGTATGTACTTTTTGTTTCCCTTCTCATTTTATTATTCTAGGTTACAATACTATAAAATTATTATGGGAAGAGTGAAAATTATTAAAAAGCTTCTTTACATATTTTTCTCCATTTCCAGCCACTTCATCTCTCTTGGCTCCGTGGATTTCCTTCTGCTCTCAGCCACATTCAAATTTTTCCTTCGTCTGAATGTAAAACAAAGTTTTAAACCTACGTAAAATATTACGTCAGATTATTTTTGTGTATTCTATTGACTGCAAAGAAGACAAGAGAAAAGTTCTGAATTGAAGCAAAATATTATTAAACACATTATAGGACAAGTGAGAATTTTATTCAGATGGACCAGGGAATACCATAACATGATCACATGTTTTCTACAAGAGGCGTGAATTCTGTCCTGTTCGCCTCAGGTCCAGGAGCTTCGAAGCAAAATAACTCATTTTTCTTAATGGCGAAGCTGTATCCGAGACTTAGGACTGGTCAAAGGATAACGTAATTAACATATCTTCGCAGAAAGTGATATTTTCGATCGATTTTAACAAAAATTGGAATGTGTGAACACATTTTTTAGCAAAATTCAACATTATCAAATTTCACAAAAATCTCTTAAGCTCACTGCTTAAATTCGTAGTCGAGACCGTGCCTAAGACGGCGTCTGAAGCATTTAGCAGACATAGAGGAAACAAGAAACGCATACAGAACTTTGGTTTGAAAACCTCGTGAAAGATCACTTAGGAGTATTATTCATTTATTTGGTGGTAATCTGAGCGTACTTTAGAGCAGTGATATTCAACCTGGGATACACGTACCCCTGGGGGTACGCGAAGACATCTTAGGGGATACGTTAAATTTTTAAAAATATATTATTTTATGATAAACACTGAATAATCAGTAATGTAATTTATTTAATTTATTTTAGATGTAGATTATATACTATGTATAACACGAATTATACACCAACAACTCTGGGGGTACAAAGTTGAAGAGAAATTATATCTGGGGGTACGCGAAGACATCTTAGAGGGTACGTGAAATTTAAAAAATACACCAACAACTTTGGGGGTACAATGTTGAAGAGAAATTATATATGGGGGGTACGCGAACAAAAAAGGTTGAATACCGCTGCTTTAGAGAACTGAGTTGTGAAAATGTGAATTGGATCGACAGGAACACGTCACGGCTCAGTGACTAAATTTATGGAAGACAATCATTTAATTTCGCTTAAGAATGCGGCGAATTGTATGTTTCACGCAAAGGAGATGAAACAGATTTAAACAATAAAATTTTTCTATGAGATGGTAAAGTTGCGTCATATTGTGATATAATAAATATATATTATTTAAATCATGGTCTAATGTAAATCGAATATTTCGATAAAGAACATCATTTAATATTTTAAATTTTAAATGTTAATTATTGTAATATTTTAATATTTAATAAGAATTTATTGTGATTAGACGGACAAGATTTAAATAATATAAAATTTTTCTAGCTAACTTTCCTTATTTTCTACACACATGGAGAATATCACCACGTCCATGTGTCGATCATGAAATCTGCATTTCTCGAGTAACATCTTTCGAATCAGTTGACATAATTTTACGATTCTTATTATAAACATCACTAGGAAAATGTCAGTCAAGAATTACTCGAAAGTTATTCCACTAAAGAACACCCTACCATTTCAAATTGAGGTGGAAACAGATGTTTTGTTTGTTAACGTTATCGCCATGTTTAATGGGGAAAAAAACAACATGTCGGCCTTGAAAATCGTACATTTAGCTTCGAGACAGCTGTCTTCAAAGTTGTACTCAACAAATTTAACATCAAACATCACTAAATCGTATATAAATTAATTTACAGCTCATACCACATTCAGTCCAGACGACATCATACAAATTAAAACAAGCGACACGCATTTTACGTGATTCTTCTGAGTCTTTCGTAAAACTTTAAACAGTTGTTGGCTCTCGTCAGTTAGTAGTCAAGACAGCTTTAGTTACGAACTACTTTTTTACAGAGGTTGACTGACAGGTGCAAGAGTTTGTTGACTTACCCAGCAAGTCACATACGATCAGGCTACAGGTGATTCAATACGCTGGTCACGTATACAGAGCATCCATCTTCCGACAAACAACAAAAACTCGACACATGCAAATTTGTTCGTCACGAACTGTAGTAACAGCGGTATTATACACTAACAGCATTGTTCGTGTATAACAATCACACCTATATGATTTGCCAGCTTGATCCAGTCAACTGATTCACAGACATTTAATAACGGGTTCTCCTATGACCAAACTCCTTAGCCTGTCTTCCTAATATTACATGTTTTGTGGGTCTAGGCAACACGGAGTTTTCCTCCGGGGGCTTCCCCGGTTTCTCCGTGTCATCCCAACAATTACTCCATTCACACACAGAAGAAGGCAATGGCAAACCACTTCTGGATCATCTGCCAAGAACGTATATGAACAGGTCCCAGTCCGAGAAAAAGGATGGAAGGATCCTGTTCATATGGACCTGTCGTCAGACAGAACAATAAATAATAATAAGATGAGGTGGTCTAGCGATTAGAACGCTGGCCTTGTAATCCTGGGGGGTCTCGGGTTCGATTCCCGGCGGTGCCCGAATTTATAACTTGGGTTGGGCAAGGCCGTGGTCTAGGCAACACGGAATTTTCCTCCGGGGGCTTCCCCGGTTTCTCCGGGGCATCCCAACAATTACTCCATTCACAAACAGAAGAAGGCAATGGCAAACCACTGCTGGATCATCTGCCAAGAACGTATATGAACAGATCCCAGTCAATATTTTGTAAAATGACATTCCTTATACCTTCAGCCCTGAAGGTGGAGACAGTATGTTCCTCAAAACCTCTGATATCCACCAAAAAGATCACATGGTGCTACAAACCAGAAGATCAAACCTGAAATCGCATGTCTGGAAGTGGTTACTTAAAATTCTGGCACGTTAACTAACAGACACGTGAGTGCGTTAGCTTCTAAAATGGTAGAGACGTCGTTTAATATGAACGAAACAAGAAGGCGTCTAAAAAAAGTGTCTTCGAGGAAATGCAGAGAGCAACACGACTCCTTATCACCAACTGAGACACCGATTAAACCTTTGAACTCAGCAATATGGAGACAACCAAAGATGAATAATGCCCAGTTCAAACTATCGAGTATCTAAAAGGGAAAGAATACGTCTAATTATATAGGCCATAGCAGTAAATGCTTACGTTACTTATAGTATATACAGTGTGTCCCACAAGCTCCAAGCGTTAGGGAAAGTTGTTACATATCATGTGTTTCCAACCCAAGTTCTGGGATTCTTTGTCTAGGCCAAGCGATTATGGAGCTACACTCTTTGAATTATGGGGAGAATCTTACCACATTGACATTACAACGAACAGGGAATGTTTCCTGACTCACGGGAAGGAAAGTGGAGAAGTGTTTTCTACAGGAAACTCTGGAAACACACCCTCTATCCCTGTCATGTCAAAATGGTAATTTCACCTTAAACACCTGATATTTGAAACGTTTCGCAACAATTTTTCCTTCTTTACATTTGTCCGTAATTTTCTAAATAACCAGAATCTTCTTGTGGCCCTACGAACTTATGGGACACTCTGTATACAGCGTTTCTAAACTATGTTCCGTGAGTAATAGGTGAACTTCAGGGCGTTAACACAAGTCTAAATAGTCGAATAAACACAGACCCGGGGCTTAATCCTTGATAAGTTGAAGCTTTATTGTTTCAGGCTTAGAACTATTTAGTGAATGAATCTTTCTGTATCAATACTGCATAATATTATTGAAACAGATTGATGACAATTCTGTTTAGAGTAATCATATTTTTCTTGATTATACCTCTGTATTGTGTCCAAAACTTTGCTATATGATTTTGTTTATTGTTTTTCATCGATTTTTATAAATGTTCTACACTACGTTGTTTGGAAATAATTACACGCAGACCAGAATAAAATGATTCTCATCTCATATTCGTTCCCCTTATTTGTCATCCTTGTGATAATGTCTAAGCTATCCTCATTATAATTAGGAAAATGTAGATCAAAATAAATCGACCAATTTATGACTAAATCTGACAAATTCAGAGGGCGCCCAGAGCAGTTTATTGTGACTCTGTACGTCATTAAGGATTTATTGAAATCGTCTTGAAGATGGACTGGTCTAAGTGTAATTATCTACCAGGTAGGTAAAATGTATACAATATATTCTTTATCACATGGATTTAGTCCACTGATACATTAATTGATACATTATTGTTTGCTACACACTTGGACGTGTTCAGAAAGTGATATTTTCTTAAATTGCGTTGATTTTTTTAATTGGTATGTCAGTCTGGTGAGCCAAAGATACATTACGAAATCACAATGTTTTTGTATTGTACTAAATTCTGTTCTGAAATTACAAAGCAATACCAAATTTTGTAACAATGAAAATGCTAACAAATTGTAAAGAGTAGGAACTACAAACGCAGGAAATTGAATGTAACAGCTCGTGTGAGCACATGCCAGCCAAACAAATGCAAAACAGTAGCGTAGTAATACAGATTATGTTCACAGTATTAAAACGAATTCAACATATACTGGAATCCTTGTGCTATGTTTTACTGTGGGGTTGGGTAATTGAGGTCCACGAACGATCCATCCGTGGTGACATTTCTGAACACGTCTGTTGGACCAGAAATGGAATCTGTAGGAACTACTGGAAACAGCTGAACATTGCCATTTTCATTCTGCTTGCTGAATTCAAGATGATAACGGGGCTGTGGCAGCCTGAGGCCTCCGACATCTGCAAAATTCAATTAAATTCGTCAGATTTCACGTTCTCCTGTTGGTGGGTCTAAAGTTGACTGTCTTCTGTGTTGTTGCGCCGTGAAATCTTGCATATGTTTAGCGATGTTTCAGAGGTCCTTGCTGCCTCCATCGTGAGGGTAATCTGCTCAAATTTAAAACGTCGGTAGACATCTACCAGGATACACGGCCCAACAACACAGAAGAGAGCCATTTTTAAATTTAATTTGAAAAAAAAAACATGATTTTCCTGCAAACAAATAATTTATAAAGTAAAATTGCACTGTTGTTAGGTTAATTAAAGGAACGACTATTAAGCTTTTGGCGCAAAATAATTCAGAACGTAAATGGAAATATTTGATGAGATGCTTCCGAGGTCGTATACTTCAAAAGAAAATTTATATTCAGTTCCCATGACCTGGGCAGATATAAATGGTTTTTAAAATTCATTACCCAGCAAGACTTTGATATCCAGTTTTGATTCTTGAGTATTAATTTCATAAAACGTGTTCATTCACCAAATAGTTCTAACGAAAAATAATTATGGTCTCCGTCTCTACCATCTACCAAGATGACGATGTAGACTGCCTTCAGATTTCCATAGTTGCTTAGCTGATAATTCGCTGCTGGCACAGTGATCATTTAACTTCTCGATGATGTCTCAAATCACGAATCTAACTTTTCCGGCTTTCCACCGAATATAAACACAAATATTTAAACGTGAGTGTTGGTTCTGATTCCCACATTTCAGACAGCTACAAAACCCACAAGCGGAAACCCCCTTATTTCTAAATTATTCGATAAAATAGCCTATATAAACAGTTAAATCTTTAGGATTTGGGTAATCTTTTTTCAAAACTATAATTCATGTATCAGTCGAAGAGCTTAAAAGCAGGCGGTAGACCTCATAAGACAGACAAGTCTAGAATAATTCCCCAAAACCGTGAGATAATTATGACATGACAGCGAGAATTAGTGTTTACGTTCAGAAATCCTTAAGATATAAAATAACTCTTTTACATTTCTTAATGAAGAGACGTGTTTATGGAACTTTCTGTGCGTAGAAGTGAGAAGAACTGATTTCTCTTCTAAAACCGTGCATAAAATTAAGTTAGTTAATACACTGACTGGTTACGGGGCTGGAAGAAAGCGGTTCGATTCCCGTCAGGGGCAGAACTATTTTTCTCTTAGCCTTCGCATTTAGACCGACTCTAAATCCCACCAAGGATCCTAACCAATGAATGCGTGGAGCTTATACCTCCATTACACCATACGTCTTCATGACCTTGCGCGAAATGAAGCTGATTTGCCTTACCAGAGCCACCACACGGTAAAAGTTAGCTAGACGTGGTTACCTCGAGTTTCAGCAGGTGGCAGGGTGGTCGGCGGAAGTATGTGGCGCCGTTAGTTGTCCATTTGCGGAAACCACGCGGAACAAGCTTCAGACGCAATTTCGCACATGGCGGACAATGCTTTGCTAGCACCGTCGTAATCTGAAATTAAAAGGCAAATAGAAGCTTGTGACATCTCACAATACGAATTAAATGGAAAACCACAAACAATTGACTTTTTGTAATGATCTTTCACTCGTAAACTCGGGATGTAATTTCTCAGTCGTTGCCAGTCCACAAAATGATGTAATTTGGATACATTTGAGGTTATGATGGCGTTAAGTACGAAGCGACATGTGGTTTGGTAGATGTTTCAGAAGTCCTTGCTGTCTCCCATCGTCGGGGTGGTCCTCGTGATGGGAGGTAGCAAAGGATCTCTGTTGTTACAACCAAGAAGACAGCCATTTTCAAATTTGTTTAAATTTGATAGACATGGAAATAGTTAGGAGTACAGAATTTTTGAAAGTGTGTTTGAATGAGTAAGAGAAGTATTTATCCTAATTTATGGGGAAAATAATAGGTCCTTCGAATTAATAATGACCCACAAAATATCAATGCGAATCATACAGAGTCTCAAAAAATTTTCACGTATAAAACAAATTTATTAAGATCGTGAATTGTTCAAACATCTTCTTTACACATCGATAAACTTAATTGTATTTGTTGCCATTCTGTAGATTTTAATAAATTTAATCTCTAAAAGATAGATGAACAGTTCAATTTCATCGTGAAATGGATTATAGTTGTTCTTAATTATTCGATAAACTGACTAATATAATTTGTTGTTCCCCTTAGTATTCAATTAGGTCTAAATATAACAATATTTCGTGCAATTTATCCCAAAAAAAAAAATAACACGTAATAAAAATTCCAATTCGCTTATACAATTTTTCAATTCAATTCTGGCATAAAACATTAACCAACTGCAGATATAAAACAGCGAAGAATTAGTTTGGAACTAAATTACTTGCAAATTTTTATCAGAAGTTTCGAGTTCTGTGCTTTGGAATTTCGACAAGACTCACATTATTTGATTCGATTTGAGTTACACATAAATTACCTGTAGGACTTCCCCGTTTACCAAAGATACTGCCATTGAACGGAGGCTTCCTGAAGGCTGCTGTAGCAAATTCAGCCAACAGTAGCACGGCCAGAAGGAGGACACATGTTGCAACAACTCGGTTTTGCATTGTTGTACGAGTGATTAAAATCAGAAGTCTGAAAACACACAAGTGGTGACATCTGTTGTACTACAGTCTAACTTGTAAAATACATAGTAATAGAAAGATCACGTGACCCACAACAAAATATTTATTTATTGTTACAATTGAATATATTTAACTGGAATAATAAACACGTAATATCACTGAGATTATACAAGAGCCAAGGCACGTCATGTCATGTTATAACCTACAACTATTCGTCCGTACCGCAAAGAAAACTCAACACTTCACCAAAAATAAAGATTAGATGGTTAATATTGCTTAAGAAAGTAATCGCTGTTTACACCGAGAATCGTGTAAAGCCTATTAATATCATATGAACAATTGTTTATTGTTTAAGGAGGTTAAGGATAATTACCATTGAGCTTTGATGCGTTAATTAAGGTGATCAAAGAGGATAATGAAAAATGTATACAAAATTATGGTAGACAAATAAGCAGCGGGAAATTATGAAAATGTTACTGAAACATCGGTTCCATAAAATTTGTAGAATGTCTTGACTAGCTAAGCAACTATTAGATTATCAAGAAAGACTGTAGTATAATCATAAACACTATTATTATTATTATTGATACCATAGGAACAGTTTAAGAGCTGTTGAGGTTACAGACAGTGTCCAAAGAATCTGTGTTGAGTAAAGGTCACTTTTGAAGACGTCGAGATTTAAAGGTCATATATATTTTTGACGAAGACAAGGCAACGCATAAGAGAATAAGGAAAGAATGACAGAAGGAAAAACTCTACTCGCCTGTACCTAAAAACACTGGTCACTTTTCGAGTAGTGTTCCAGCTGATAATGGCCTCTCTCGTAAAGTAAACAATCGAGTGCAGAGTAATCGATATTAAAACTGACGAGAATAGTCGAGTCCGTCGCTTAGCAACCCTGCATCTGTTTTCAGTCGTTTCAACTATGCTGAATCTTGTAAAAAGCTGATTTCTGTTTATTGTCGAACGACGTAAACAAATTAATTGCATCTCTATTTAAGATTTGAGGTTTTCACAGCGGTGAGAGTGAAGATTTCTGTCTTCTGGGTTGTTGCGCTGTGTAGTCTGGTAGATGTTAACCAACGTTTCAGAGGTCATACTGCCTCCGTCATCAGAGTATGAAGATTTCTGTCTTCTGGGTTGTTGCG